GCCAGCAGGGAGCAGGGCTGGCCATGGGCGGGGGGAACCAGAGCACAGATCCCAGGGTGCTGCCCATCCCGCGCATGGTCCTGGCAGGGCGCATGGGCGAGTCTGGCCCCGGGGATTCCATCCCGCTCCACCCCCACTTCCCTCCTCTCTACTGTGTAGTTGCGTACTGCCTGGCTGGTAGACACGCTCATGCAGTGTATGTGTGTCTACCAGCTACCAGCCAGGCAGTATGCAACTACGTTCTAATACTCATGATAATAAAACTTAATTAGAAAATACCGGACATATCCAGTATTTTCTCAATTTGTTTTCCCGACAGAAAGCTCAAATACCAGACTGTCCGGTTCAAAACCAGACACCTGGCAACCCTAATTTTAGATGTGCCTATATCTGAACCAATATTATGTAGCAGTATCCTATTCTAGAAATTCCTATGATTTAGAAAAGAAATTAACGATTCTGGGATATACATTGCTTTAAAGCAGGGTTACTCAACATGCGGCCCCGCAGCCTGTTTGTTTACGGCCCATGGTGCAGTTTGGGTTTATGTAGGGCTCAACACACGGCCTGTGGGTGGGATCCTTTGAACATGGCCTCCACTGGAAACATGCTCCACAATGGCGAGTCAGTATAATGGTCTTCTGTTGATATGCATTTTAGTAGTTAAATTCCTGGACTGTCATTGCTCATTAAAAGTGCTGTCATATGGGTGGAAATCGGGTAAATATTTCATTTTATTAATATCAGCAGAACAGAACTAAATGGGGCCTGCGTGTTTTGTAGTCTTGCCTTAATCTTTGTATTCGTGCCTGCCAGTGTGAAAGAAGCATATATATTCAACCACACTTAAGCTGCGGCCTTCAGCATATACTCTGAGTATCATTGTGTCCCCCGGGACTTCCAAAGTTGAGTAGCCCTGCTTTAAAGACTATTTACATGCCTAATGAAAGAGACCTATATATACTTCCATGTTAAAATGTTTGATAAGCCAATTTTTGTAAGTAATCATTCACTATTTAACGGTATGCATTAGATATCAGTAAGTTAACAAGGTAAAGACTCATACATTACTGTAAATCTGTACTACAAAGGCAATGAAAAATGTTTGAGTTTTGAATAGCTGCTCTTGGGATGTAACTTACCTGCTATTTGTATGTCACTCACCTAATCCTTCCAGAAATAAAATGTCATGTGCAGCAACTTATTTGCTTCAGTTTTTGCCAAGAGGATTTGTTCTACACACGCAAGATCATTGTGCAATAAGATGTGAAGGGAGGACCTTGATTCAGCTTTAATTTATTCTTCAGACTCATATGTGGAACTGGGAAAATGCTCTCTTTGGATTGTGTACATTTTGTAGTTAATTTATAGTAGTGTACTTTACAAAGCAGCAACGTTTCATCCATATAAATATTTGATCAGTGTTCTGCAATACTTTATGTGGGTGACAGGGGAAAAGAAATATGCACGTTATTATTTATTTATTTATTCAAAATAAATACTGTAGTATAAAAGGAAAATGAGGAAATAAATTCCATCTGTGCTTGAGGAATTGTCCTTTTTCCTAACTCAATCCTGCTGCTGTTTGTCTGTTGTTTCCTTTCTGTTCCAAACAAATTGTCACACATACAAAGATGATGATTTTACAATGACTTGTGATGATGATGATTATTTATTATTTTACTTTTTGGCTGACTCTTCTGTTGCATACCTCTGAAGATTGGCCTTTTAAAGATTTAGTGTTACTCTCATGTAACAGCTGTACAAGTCAATCTTTCAAAAACTGTTTTAAAACTCTGCACATATAGAAGGTGATCAGATGCATGTAGATCTTACTGTAGGGGTGGGGAACCTTTTTAGCACTGGAAGCTGCTGACCCACAGAAAAATCAGTTGGGGGCCACACACGTGAGAAGCAAAAAAAAACCAAAAACAAAAAACCCCAAAACCTCACTGAGGTGGCCCCTGACTGGAGAGAAAGACACTCCCTATCTTCCCCCTGCATACCAGAGCCTACTGAGGGTCCAACCCAGTAGATTTTATGTGTTCTAGCCCTGCTGTAGGCTGGCAGGGGGGAGGGGCTGGAGCAACAGCACAGGAGAGGGAGCCCTGAACCTCAGGGAACCTGATCCAAGTAAGCCGGGCCACATGCACCTCCCACCACGCCTTAGGTTCCCCACCCCATCTTACAGAAAGACTTGGGATAAGTACAATAAATAACATATATTAAGGAACCAGAATAAATTGTTGCATCTGAGTTATGTATTCTGCCAGCTACCATTTCTGATCAGTTTTATTTGTTCTGGGAGCTACTAATATGAACAAATGGCTAGTTTTAAAGAGTCTGATTTTCAAGAGGTTTGAATTTGCTGTTGGAAATGAGCTGAGATTCTCATTGCTTTATAACCTGTAATAGTTGCTTATAGCTTTAAGAGTTCATATACAGGCAGTCCCCGAGTTACACGGATCCGACTTATGTCGGATCCGCAGTTACGAATGGGGATTTTCTCGCCCCGGAGGACTGGAGTGGCGGGACGCCTGGTCCCGCCGTTTTTAAAATTATGTGTGTGTCTATGTAAAAGTGTGAATGTGTGTGTAAAGGAATCAGTCCCTGAAGCCAGCCTGTCTGGAGACCATCTGCCAGCATCACCTTGACGGCTGAAGAACAATGTGAGCAAGCCTTGCAAAAGAACCCACCCAAGAAAGATGGGAAAAAGTCCTATCAAGAAAAGGTCAAAGTCCCATCTTCAGTTAATTAGTGACTCATGGTCACACAGTGTCCTGGGGCAGTGGGACAGAACAGGCTCCATGGACTAAAACAATTAAAAAGATGAGTGCAGAACTGTAGAACTGAGTCTTTCGGTTCTATAATCATCCTCCAGGAACATCAGTGCACACTGACACGACCCAGCTCCTCACCTCGTGTCTAGACCGCCAGACCAGTGGAATAGCATGAGCAACTGAGGCTGGTAATTTTATCCCATTTGTAGAAATGTGTTCATGAGTGTGTGTATGTGCGGTGAGTAATTTTAGTAGCTAGGGATAGTAAATGAATTCTGCTTTCACAATAAATGTGGCATATTGCCTTATCCCTACCACAATTCTGCTAGTTCTATTTCTGCAAGTATCACAACCTCCTCCTCAAGAGAATGTCTGCATTTCTAAAAATAAAGATACAGGCAGTCCCCGGGTTACGTACAAGATAGGGACTGTAGGTTTGTTCTTAAGTTGAATCTGTATGTAAGTCGGAACTGTCATCCAGATTCAGCCGCTGCTGAAACTGATCAGTTTCAACAGCAGCTGAATCTGGACACCAGTTCTGACTTACATACAGATTCAACTTAAGAACAAACCTACAGTCCCTATCTTGTACGTAACCCGGGGACTGCCTGTATCTTTATTTTTAGAAATGCAGACATTCTCTTGAGGAGGAGGTTGTGATACTTGCAGAAATAGAACTAGCAGAATTGTGGTAGGGATAAGGCAATATGCCACATTTATTGTGAAAGCAGAATTCATTTACTATCCCTAGCTACTAAAATTACTCACCGCACATACACACACTCATGAACACATTTCTACAAATGGGATAAAATTACCAGCCTCAGTTGCTCATGCTATTCCACTGGTCTGGCGGTCTAGACACGAGGTGAGGAGCTGGGTCGTGTCAGTGTGCACTGATGTTCCTGGAGGATGATTATAGAACCGAAAGACTCAGTTCTACAGTTCTGCACTCATCTTTTTAATTGTTTTAGTCCATGGAGCCTGTTCTGTCCCACTGCCCCAGGACACTGTGTGACCATGAGTCACTAATTAACTGAAGATGGGACTTTGACCTTTTCTTGATAGGACTTTTTCCCATCTTTCTTGGGTGGGTTCTTTTGCAAGGCTTGCTCACATTGTTCTTCAGCCGTCAAGGTGATGCTGGCAGATGGTCTCCAGACAGGCTGGCTTCAGGGACTGATTCCTTTACACACACATTCACACTTTTACATAGACACACACATAATTTTAAAAAGAGTTGAAGCAGTACAAAGTTTTAAATGGGGTTTCAGTTACAATATATAACAAGAAAAAGTTACAGTAAAAGATTCTCCAAAGGCAATTCTTAACAGGTTACTGACAAAGTAATCCAAATCCCATTCATGAAGATTGGGATTCAGTTCATGAGGTTACGTTGGTAGATAATTTATAAATGGGTGATTTCATGCTACAGCCCTACAAGGTAAGATGGAGGAAGTTAGAATTAAATTCCAATAAATAATTGAGATTATGAAGATTCTGGAATTTGCTGAGTGCATTCTAAATATATGCTTCAATTAAAATTGTAATATATTATTGCAAAATTAAAAAGATGCATCTGTGCATGGTGTTCTGGTAGCACCCATCGCCATATTATCTAAGCTCTGAAATATTGTTTTAAAAATCATAAATTCTTCAGAAAAAAAAATTACACAACTTTCATAATATTATCTTGAATCTAAAATAAGTTTATTTACTTAAAAAATATTTTCCGTATCATGCGCATACACTATTTCATTATTATAGAGCTGCTCCTGAGTGTTGACTTTGCATGAACTATAGGCATAAAATAAAACACTGAAGCATTTAAGGTGGATTGGGAACAAAGAGAGAGAATTACAAAAGCATTGCAACAGACGCAAGAAACACAAATTGCAAAATGTTAGCCAGCTGATATTGGTAGATCTTTTAATACATTTAATATCCCTCTGTCTAATGTGTTCATCAAAGTAATATGAGACATTTAGAAACATTAATGAAGTTCTGCTAATCATGTTTTCAGATGTGAAGTCTAACAAAGTCTAGGTATTTTGGCTGTGACATCATCTGTTTTCATGTTGTTTGTTTTAGCAACATCAGAATATATTGCTCACTGTTCTACACTGACAGAAGTCTTATGTAGTCAGGACGGGTTCCCTTGTTTCTCTCAGAATACTTTATGAATGATTTAGTTTATATTTATATGTATTTTTCAGATGGTATTTGTTCACCAGTACAAAAAGCATCCACTTTTGTAACCTGTATATGAGCTATTACCTAGAGAGTTGTGTACATGAAAGAGTCTAATGACAATATGAATTTGCTTATGTAGGAATAATGTCAGTCTGACACTTTTTTGTTTTTTAACTGCAAAATTCATATAAGGCCTTGTCCAGACTAACATAAAAGGGGTAAAATGTTGTTAGCTAACACATTTTAACTAATGTATTTTAAAAGCCTAGTGTGGAAGGAGCAAGCTGTATTGAATACTAACTGGTTGAGTTAACCCCAGGTTTTCTACTCAGGTCAACCTTGACCAGTTAAATTAAAATAAAATATGTTCATCTGAATCTATGCTAGGGAGAGGGTTAACATATTAACTAATCCTGTCTCCTAACCTTGATTTGTCTTCTTGTCCAAACCTAAACATTATGGTCTATATGAATTTTGTATGTTATGAGAGATGGACTTGTTTTAGTTTTCAGCTCTGCTATTAGTTTAATCAAATTGTATTACAATTAAATGAAAATGTTTTGCCCTTCTTTTTTGAAATGCTAGGTAAAATGTAGTGTGTCTGTGGGCCAAAAGGAGTTTTGGTTGTTTGTGACGGATTTCACACTGCAGAACGGGGCTAAAGGCAACTGTGGAAATCCAAAGACTGTACCAATATATTTTGCCTCATCTTGTGTTCTCGATAAGAAGGTGATGGAGGCACTCACCAGTGCTTCCCACTGCACTATCTTCTTCAAGGATGCTTTACAAGGAAATGGTAAGCTGTTTATTCGTGGTCCTGGGGCAACTGGAGCCAAAATAATTTCAGTGTGGCCCATAGCCATTCAAATCTTTAATACAGACATGCAACATTCTGCCACACTTAAAAACAAGGAGTCCTGTAAAAAACTAACGAATTTTAGTTGGGCATAAGCTTTCGTGGGTCAAAAGCAACGGAGCAAGTATTCTCATCCAGTGCTGCTGCAGGGAGCTTGACCACTGCTGCCACATGGCACCAGGGCTCCCTAGTGATCCCCGAGGTCGTGTCCTTAAGGACAGGTGCCATGGGGGGCAAAGGGAAGAGTGATAGTGGGAAAGGGTGGAGCTTGGGGGCCAATAAGGGACAGTACATCTTCCCTGGCCCACTGAGAGTCCCAGGCTGGATTATGCAATCGCTCTGGCTGGAAATGGCCGGTGGGCTGGAAGTTTAAGACTATAGGACATCCAATATTAGTGAATGCAAGTTACCTTCAATTCAGCCAGGGTTTGAGCCACTGACACCTACTTATGAAAGGTTCCATATCTTGTTGCCAAATCCATTGAACAACTTATATGCCTGTAGGAGCTGAAATCTGGTCCATAGTATGCAAATTAGGTGAGGTATTTAGGGCAGGTGAGAAAGTTTGGGTAATTCCTGCTTTGGAGAGTAAAAGTGCTGTATGTACCTTGCCTTGGGACAGAATAAGAACACTTCTAAGAGAAGTAAATACTTATATGATTAAACAACAGACAAAAACACAAGCTTCCAGTGAACAATTTACAATCCTGTTTGAATGGAATTTGAATCTTTAAAAAAAAATTGACATAGCAAAATCTTTTTGCCCAGAAGCAACTGACTTCATCAAGAGCTTTATGTGTATTTCATTCAAAAACCAAATAGATTGATGCAGTCTAAACCTGAAATAATCCAGGTATCTGGTTAGTAACTGGCAAAGAATATTGTCTTTATTGGCCATGACAGTATGGTCACCTTTTTCCTTGTTATTGTAATAAATTGAAATGTCTTTGTTGGCAGGTAGGATTATTTGTGTTGAACGTACCGTTCTCTTGTTACAAAAGCCCCTTTTGTACACGGCTCCTGAGGCTGACTTTAGTGAACTGACTGGCCCTGTCAAACTAGATGAACTGGATTCTACAACACAGGCCAATTCCATTTGTACCATAAAAGGTTGGTACAGCCTTTTTTGAAATGAATATTACTAAGTATTTGTATTTATTTTATGCATTTAAGTCCCAGTATTAATATCTTGAATAAAATGATGTATTGAAGAAAAGGGGGGAGGGGGAAATGATTTGAAGGAGTTGCTGTGTCTCATTAGTATAGTCATGTTTATCTCTCTTCCTGGCCTTTGCTTGCCTTTTACTTGCAAATGTTACTGTGGAAGACTTTTTTCCCCTGCACACGATTGTTCATTTTAGCTCTGCCCGGTTCATTTTTCCATTCATTAATGCTTGTGTATGCTCATGTGCATATGTGTATACACACAAATATTTGCTGTAAAATGTCTCATTCTTTCACTTCATATGTCTTACCAATTGGTATAATATTATCTGCAGTAAAATTATTCTTTTACAGAAAGATTAGGTATGCAAGTAAGGACTTGAGCATGAGAGGTAGGCTTGATACTTCCACTGGTCTTCTCTGAACCTTCTCCACATCTTTCTTGAAATGTGGTGCCCAGAAATGAACACAATACTCCAACTGAGGCCTAATCAGCATAGAGCAGAGCAGAAGAATGACTTCTCATGTCTTGCTTACAACCCTTCTGTTAATGCATCCCAGAATCATGTTTGATTTTTTTTGCAAGTGTCATACTGTTGACTCATGTTTTAACTTGTGGTCCATTGTGACCCTCTAGATGCCTTTCTGCAGTACTCCTTCCTAGACAATCACTTCCCATTCTGTATGTGTGAAACTGTTCCTTCCTAAGTGGAGTACTTTGCATTTGTCCTTATTAAACTTCATCCTGTTTACCTCAGACCATTTCTCCAGTTTGTCCAGATCATTTAGAATTTTGTCTTTATCTTCCAAAGCACTTGAAGTCCCTCCTAGCTTGATATCATCTGCAGACTTAATAATTGTACTCTCTATACCATCATCTAAATCAGGGCTGCTCAACTTTGGAAGCTCCGGGGGCCACGATGATACTCACAGCACATGCGGAAGGCTGCAACTTAAGTGTGCATGCATGTACATGCAAATATATATGCAAATAGCTTCTTTCACACTGACGGGCATGAATACAAAGATTAAGGCAAGACTACACAACATACAGGCTCTATTTAAGACAATTCTGCTGATATTAATAAAATGCAATATTTACCTGATTTCCACCCATATGACAGCACTTTTAATGAGCAATGACAGTCCAGGAATTTAACTATTAAAATGTATAGACTAACAGAAGACTATTATATTGACTACTTTTTCATTTTGGCTTCCACTTGCAGGTTGAGCCCCTGCGTAAATCCAAAGCGCACCGCAGGTTGCAAACAAATGGGCTGCAGGCCGCATGTGGCCCATGGGCCACATATTGAATAGCCCTGATATAAGTCATTGATAAAGAAATTGAACAGAATCGTTCCCAAAACAGACTCTTGTGGAACCCCTTCTAGCATGATTGTGAACCGTTAATAACTACTCTCCGAGAATGTTATGCAGCTATGCACCCACCTTATAGAAGCCCCATCTAGGTTGTATTTACCTAGTTTATTGATAAGAAGGTCATGCAAGATGATGTCTCATGCCTTACTCAAATCTAGGTATACCACGTCTACCACTTCTCCCTTATCCACAAGGCTTAATATTCTATCAAAGAAAGCTATCAGATTGATTTGACATGCTTTGCTCTTTACAAATCCATGCTGGCTGTTACCTATTACCTTATTATCTTCCAGATGTTTGCAGATGGATTCCTTAATTACTTGCTCCATTATTTTCCCTGGCACAGAAGTTAAACTGACTGATCTGTAGTTTCCTGGATTGCTCTTATTTCCCTTTTTATAGATATTTGCCCTGTTCCAGTCTATTGGGATCTCTCCTGACTTCCATGATTTTTCAAAGATGATTGCTAAAGGCTCAGATACCTGCTCTATCAGCTCCTTGAGAGAGAGATCTCAGGGCCAGAGTCTAAAACTACCTTAAATTGAGGAAAAACTGTGGACTTGATCTTTCTGTACAGCATTTAAACCTGTTTAGACTCTGCAAACCATTTTCTGTAGTGGAACGTATGTTGTTGTGATCTGATCAGGGTGTCTCCCAATGCTCTGAGTTGGCTTGGAAAGTACTCTTCTTTTGCTGTCATCTTTGATGCTCTTATTGGGAAGCTCACATCTTCATCCAAATAAGAGTGAATCTTAATTCTTTTGGTAATCTAATCTATAAAATTCCTCTCTATTTTTATCTCTAATTTTTTGTATTACTATATTTAGCATCAGCACCATGTCTCCATAACATGTACAATAGAAGAAAATAAATCAGAAGGCTTAGAGAGAAGAAACTGGTCTACCAAAATAAGGACAATTTAAAAATAACTTTAAAAATGAAGTTCTGGTGGAAAAAATGAGGGCAGAGATGTACTTAACAAGTGGAGAACTATCTTTTCTCCATTCAGAAAAGAGGCACTCATATATTGTGGCAGGTTATGCAAAAGCTTGTAATTGCAAATTCTAATTATATCTATCCTGCACACCTCCCCACATGTGTCTACAGAGTTTGTCTGTTTGATCAAGAACTGTGCCTAAATGGTGAGAGCCAGGACCACCAAATTTGGTATACAGCTTCCTTTTATCATAACTTAAAGCAAGGTAAAGGTTTGGTTATGCCTGGAAAACGGGATGTGCCTGGAATTGTTTCTCATAAAACAAAACAGAAATGAGACAGAATAACCAAAATAAGTACAGTTCTCAAAACTGAAATCATTGAGTGAATGTTAAAAGAGGATGAATCAAGATGAGCCAGAAAAATAGGATAAACCGGGAAAAGGATTACTTCTCAGAAACCAAACAGAAAAGAGATAAAATGGAGAAATTTGTACTAGTGCTGTGTCTTGGTACAGCTAAATTAATGCTTAAGGTTTGAAAACTAGAAGAAAATGTTATTGGAAACCAAATTGACTATTGACTATTTTTGTTAAAACATAGAGAATGATAGGAGTTTGTAGGGATGAAGAAACAAAGTACTTGATAGAATTCCTGAATTACGGACCCGAGCAACGCTGTGTAAATCTGCTAGATATAAACAATGAAAAAGTTACCTTGTTACTTCATGCTATGTCATGCTTGGAGTTCTCTGCTTATATGTTACAGTTTGTTCTTTAGTAACACTGCTCTTGAAATTTACTTTTTATCAATAAAGTCTGTTTTCTCTGGGTGTATATACATAATTGTCAGATCTTTTGAGCCATTCCTGAATGCCACATAAATGCTGTTTCAAATTCAGTGATTGCTTTCCTGATGTCTGCTCTTGCATTTCTTCAAATTTAATGTAACTAAAATCCAAAGAAAATGAAAGTTTTCTCTCCTGCCTGCCTATCCCTTTCAGAAATGTTTTTATAATGGGAAAGTAAATGTGTTGCCATAGAACTATAAGCCACCCCCTTAACTCTCTAGGGTTTTATTTAATTGTATTGAATGTATTGTAAAATGAAAGATGTTTGCTCAAAAAGATCTGGAATTACCAGTTTATGTCTTTGTGATATTAACTACTAGTTGGTTTACTCTAAATCCCCATTTGCCAGGTGTCTCAGATCGTGCCATGCAAAAATTTTTATGGACTCAGAATGGTGCACTCTTAATTCTAACTGTCATCTCCGCATATTATCACTATTCTAAAACTCCTTACTGACTTCCTATACCATTTTTTATTTATTTTTATTTACTTTACTTGCCAATAATGGGGAGTCCACTAATAATTATCCAGTATCTCTGGAATGCCAGCTGCTCAAGCTCTGGGAGGGAGGAGGAA